TTCGCATCCATTCTGTAAACTCTGAGATATCATCAAAAGTGTATTCCTTATCCTTTGAACTAAATATAGGATTCAATTTCAACTGATCCGACAGACAATATGATGAGTTAGAACCTCCGAGTTCTTGGATTGGCGTCAAGTGAACCATATTATATCCCGTCTTGTAGGCCACCTTTCAAATGAATGACAACTTTATAAACAATTCTTTTCATACTTTTAGACCACAAACAGACCTCGAGTTTGGACTTCCAGGTCTCAAACTGACCCAAACTTTTGGTTAACACAGTCTGGCATTGAATTGCATTCAAATCCAAGAGCCGTGCGCTCGCATCAGATCCCACTTTGAGCTGAGGACTGACCACTATATAGAACTGTCCGCAGATGACATCACCCGCCGATTCCTTGTAGTAGAAGTGGAAGGAACCGGACGTCTCAAAGGTGATGGTCGTCACCTCATCTCTGAACACGAGTTCGTGGTATTTGTTTCGATCAAAATGAACACTTTCTTGACTATAGTTGGAGAAGAGGGATATGTGTCGACCCAATAGAGTGGATCCATAGATGAATTGAATGCTATCCCTATTGTTGCAGCGGTAGAGCACCGACTGTTTGTCGCAATCCAACTCCAGATTCAAGACATACACTGATTTGGGATTAATTGCCATTTTGGTGGACATCAATACACGTTAACTCCAAGGGTGCCAATCAACTGCTAATTCAATGTCAACGTGAATGTCAGACAAACTTTTCAAAATAAATATTTATCATACTTTTAGCAGACACCCCACGCATGACATGTACAGTAGTGGTGGTTCCCTCGTGTCAGATATCCTCATCAACTCATCAGTACTTTGACTTCACTATCAATTTATCTAAAGATCACACTTTTAGACCAATTGTGAAGTAATGGAAAGTTTCAATAAAATGCTAGAATTATAGTTCAAAAAATGATTGCAAGAATTCATTGCCTTACTTATGGGAAGTTTTTTTTATGGGAACTCTTATGGAAAAATGAAGTAAAAATCAACATTTGATACCAAAAATGTTTATTTTGTCCAAAATTAGAATATATTTCTTATATTTTTGATTAAATATATAAATCTTTAAGCAGACCTCCAATAAANAACACATTCCTTTCCCACACACCAATCCATTGATAAGAATGTGTGAGCGATGGCAACGCCCTCTCTATGACAGCAATGCAATGAAATGAACAAAAGTGTCAAAACTTTTATCTCATTATTTATGCACAATGTGTAGCAGTGATACGCATGCGTGCTATGCATTGCTGTTTGACTGACCAATGGGAGTGCGCTATACAAGCGTTTTGAATACATTTCCCCAGTTTTACCGCCATTTATATAATAAGCGCTTAATATTACACACAAATGAATGAATCAATAATTATATCATTTTTATAATCAGTTTTAATGAAACAATTTATTATATCATGTTTTAATCGTGTAGTTAATCATTGCATACATTCAGCCAATCATTGATTTCAATTGTGGTAATCGTGGCCCGAAATAGTGAGCCATTTGAAGGTATGCCTGCACTATGAGTACGAATGCATTGTTTGCAGTGTTTGTGTGTTTTGGTGCGAAACGCGACAATCGATTCGTTCACTAATTGTTGTCTTGTTTTGCGTTTCCTTTCATTCCATTGGGATTGTCATCACATTGTCATCACTTGTGTCCATCACTCTCGCCATGAAAGACGTGTCCATTGATTACGATTCCGAGGATCCGATGGACGCGAGCGACGACGAGTCGAGCAGCTGTTCGACGGAGGCTTTGGTCACATCGACCACTAGTTTGGGCTCTTTGGCCGCCATTACTCCCATCGGTGTCCTCAAGAAGTGCGTGAATAGAGGCAAATGGACTAAAGAGGAAGATGACAGGCTTAAGACATATGTGGAGACGTATGGAGAGCACGACTGGCAGACCATTGCCCACCACTTCAACGACAGGTCCGACATTCAATGTCAGCAGCGATGGGACAAAGTGGTGAACCCGCGGCTCATCAAAGGTCCCTGGACTAGACAGGTCTGTGCCACCCGTACCCCTCCCTTTGTTTCCATAATGACATGCATTTCCTATCGATTGCCAAACACCTGCCCTCCCCTTCCGCCCATCCCTTTCACTGTCACTGCTTTGGCGCCAAAAGCCATTTGATTAGTGAATGCATTGAAAGTATAGACATATTTTGATTGACTTATAACGTGAACAGGAGGACGAAAAAGTGGTGGAATTGGTGGACAAATACGGGCCCAAGAAGTGGACACTAATCGCCAAGCAATTGGAGGGACGTATAGGCAAACAGTGTCGGGAGCGGTGGCACAACCACTTGAACCCCGAGATCATAAAGACTGCGTGGACTGACTCGGAGGAGATGGCGATCATTAAGGCTCACCAGCAATGGGGCAATCAATGGGCGAAGATTGCGAAGCTGTTGCCCGGGAGGACCGACAACGCCATCAAAAACCACTGGAATTCGACGCTTAAGAGGAAGTCCGAGGCCATCATCAGGGGTTCGCCTACTGTTCCCCTCAAACGAAGGAATTGCAAACGCAATCGAAATGTTCACAAAACCGATGAGAATTCATATCAGGTATGAGTGAAGTGATGGTTAATGTGGTGACAGTCTTGTGATGAGTTGTGTGTCCGACAGATGCCTTCGAGCGCTTCGTTTGTTCGCCAATTCGAGACTTTCTGCGATACGGTGTCGAGTGCCCAGCGCTCGCTCATTGACGCCCAGCCCTACCCCTCGTCGTCGAGAGGGTCCCAACCGGTCACTACTTATACGGCCGCGGAGTACGACGAGAGCGATGACGGCCTCAACGACTTGAGTGATCTGTTGTCGCCTCTGAACGCCGATGTGATTGAACGCGAGTTAACCGAATTGGCGTCGAGTGCCGGCTCGGCCTTCAACGACCTCACGGTCTCTGAACTCGTGTCCGCTATCGACGGACCGCTGCTGAGCTCACCGCTGAAGGATTGTTACCCCAACCCAGACATGAATCCAAATGCCTCTCCGCTTTCATCGCTGTTTCATCCGTCGATTCTGAAGAGGAGGCAAACGATGGTTGACTACCAGACGCCCCCTTCCATGAAGAAGAAGAACCCCTTCAACGAGAGTCAGTTCGCGGCGGCCGTCACCTCCACTCCCTTTGTGGCACAACACCATTCGCCAGACTTCAAGTGTCTGCCATTCAGTCCAACACAGTTTCTGAACGCACCCAACGGTTCGGTCACTTCGACGCCCGTCAACAACAACAGCAACAGTCCCTCCAAAGTCCGGTTCACACAAAAGGCAGACCAATGGCTGCATATCTTTGACACACCGCCCACTTCCGACGTGAGTGGTATCACTTCCACCAACAAAGAGGTACTGTTTGTCTTAAGTCCAATGGTTTACTTACAAGTGAACTAATAATGGTATGTCTGTACAGAATGTGTCTCCGTATCGCAAATCACGAAAGTGTTTGTCTTCGACGTGGAGTTCTGGAGGAGATATTGCTGTTCCAGGACTGACGGCACCACAAACCCCTGTGAGGTCTACGCAAGCCATTGACACCACCTTTGATTTACTCGAAACACCGGTACTTTTATTGCATAGCGTTTCCTATGAGTTGAGTGACTAATGATTGAATTAATGGTATATAAAACAGAGTAAGTCTTTAGTGGACGAGTCGTCGTCACTACTGCTGTTCAGTCCGCCGGCAATACTTCGAGACTCGATGGGATCCGATGGCATGTGTTATAATAGCTCTGCAAACAGTTTGCAAACTTCTTGTCACACGAATAGCACCAGTATTTACAGCAGTAATGAAAGTCACGACGACAGCGGCTCAGCAC